AATCAAATGGTGAACAGGGTCGGCTAAAAGTATGTGTGTAAAGTTTCATTCGAAGAGTTCAAAAGCTGAGAGAGTAGTTTGAACTGAAAAAGTATATATATATTGTACTGATATATACTTAATGGTATTTCCGACGTTTCTTTTAATGCGTTACGAAAATCTTGACAAACCTTATATATCCTTTTCACATTTTTCGTGTAAAGAGTATAAAAAGAGGGGCCCCTTAGTATGTTGATAGGGGCCCCTTAGTTAGAATTTGCTTACAGGCCTAAAAAATGTAGTTACGCCACTGGTACAGATGTTATCATTTCCAGGTAACTTGCCACGTTTGACTCTTTATAGCATTGATTACATCGGTTTTTGCTGGTGTAGAGTGATTTATTCCAGATAGAGTAATATTAGATTCAGGTGGTATTTGCTGATCTGTACAAGGCTGCAGTCCTGACGGATTATTCAATGTTTCGGTAAAATGCTCAACTCATAGGGTCAGTTGTTCTTCTGCCGATGTCAATAGTTTTCCATTTCGAGCCGCAATGGGGCTATTTGTATATGTGGATTTGCCCGTTAAGAGACGCGATATTTCAAAAACCGTTTTCATATCTCCAATTCCCGCTGCAGTTTCTGCTCGATCTGCTTGTTCCTCGACCCATAACCTTTTATCCTTACTAGCTGATTTCTGTATTTGTTTTAATAGTTCACTATATTCTTTTCGAGAAGAATTATTTTGATTTAAAAGTCTGTTTTTTATTATTTTGCGTTGATCTATTAATCCCCATGTCTCCTGTGACATTCATGGCTTGTTATTAGTTTTCTTAAATCCTAGTACCTGCGTGCTCACCTCATTATACGCGTTTGTTATTCGTTTTGCTATTTCGTCAACGCTGTTCGTATTAGTATTTTAGATATCTGTTTCTATCTGTTACAAATAGTAGATACTGGCTCTCTAAAAGTGTGCCTATTACTTAATATCCTAAAATAATGTCGTATATATATATATTCAGAGAGATTTTTATTTTCCGTTAGTATTATCGGAAAATATTCGAAACAACGTTAGGCGGAATGGTAGGATACTTAGGCGTAACCCCTGAAAGCTTACCAGTTTTAAGCAATTTCCTCTACTGAAATTTGAACTACGAATATCGAATTATTTTTTTAATTAGGATCTGCTATAGTATAAGATAATAAAATTAAGAACTCAGCTTAGTGTTGCATTACATCTTAAACTTGCATTACAATTTTAATACATTTTCTTCATATATGTATATCTCAATATGTTACTAATCATAAACGGAAGTTTATTCATTTAAATAATTATAGCTTTGGTAATCCATCTTAGAAAATATTAAATATTTTTGGAAAAGTATTATGATCTTTGGCACGTGCCTTACGGTTCATGTCTTTTGTGTTTGATATAATTTCCGTTTTTATCTCAAAGATTTTACTACCTGTGCATGTAAGCATTTTATGTTGTCATCTTTAACGATTATAGTTTTACAATTTAATTGAACACGTAGACTCAATCGCAGACGCATCTTACTGACACATAGTTCATTCACATTTCAGTTAGAAAATATTAAATTAATAATATTGTAATAATCAAATGAGATTTGCGGTTAATAGCATATCACTTTGTTAGTGCGTAGATATAAAAACTGTCAACATGGAAGCGTATTCAAGTAACGACCATATTTATAACGTTTTTTAAATTTTTATTAACTTTTGCTCAAAATACCATCAAATATCTTTAAATGACAAGTAAAAATATTTTACGTACGCATCAGCTTTAATTATAAAATAAAAGTCAAATAAGCATAAAATATAATTTTCTTTACTGGTCTACATTTTTAAAGTCTTTTTCTCTCTAATATTGGTATTGTATCTTTATATCATATGTACATATGTTATACACAATATCTGTGGTAAAGAATCACGTGCAATTAAATTTAATTTATACTTTTTGTTGCAGATAGAGCAACAGTAGTTAATGGCATGGCAATCATTTATGAGAAATTTTACAATTTTAA